CCACCTTTTCCACGGACTCGATGCCTCTTGCTCATCCGTTATATGTAGCTAAAATAAACGAAGATTGGTGGGTTTGCGTCTACGACATTAGCATGCATAATGGATGCTGATCGTATCTAAGTTCATTAGCGTTGTGATGGGAAGGTGTGCGCCGGGGAGGAGTAAAATCGAGGGGAGTCTCAATAAATGTCAATTAAATTGGCAATTAGCCAGTGCTTTTACACATGACTCGAAATGCTAGCCTTTGTTCTATCGTCTCCAATTCATGAAAATTTTACGATAATTTTCACCACTATGGGGATTTGCACCAGTGTTGTTTCGTGTCTGTAGGACGGAAGCGTCGATGTACTTGCTAGACCCCGTGGGGTGGTGTGGCCCACCTTCGTAGTCTGCTCACGTATTTTGTTTTCTTTTGACTTTGAGGACAACTTAAATCAATGGATTAGAAGCCCTATTGTTGAAGGTTTTGGATCGTATTTTCTCCTTTAGATGGTAAATAGGTAGAAGAAGGCATTGGAATGGAGTGAAGAGGTTGAAAATAGGCTTGGCACGCGGACCGATGAAAGCAGCGAAGATTAAGATGAGCACCTAAGTGTTCGCCTCTTCAATTAAGCTTCGGTGATGAGGTTGGCAAGCGACCCGCCAGTTATCAGCTTACATAATGTCGCAAAGACGCATTTCACTGCGTTAGAAGACTCAACTGGACTTTCTGTTGATCGTCACTTGCGTCTAATCCAAGACATTTGAGAAATCGGTCTAAAACAGATGCCTAATATGGAAAATCGGAACGGTGTAGAGGTCTCACCGACATTTTAACACAAATGCGATACGGAGAGCTCCAACCCAAGGCTTGCAGCAGTGAATTCTGAGCGGTGTCGCTAGAGTTGTTAACAACTTGCCTGTGGACGTGGTTCTCAACCCCTTCTATTGTGGAGCAGTAAGAGATCCTTCCATCCAATGCATTTCCTCTTCATTCGCATCACAAAGGGTAGAGAAGGGAATCGAAGTGGCAGAAAAGGCGGTTTGAGTCTCCACTGCCACCGGTGCAATGTTCTGCGCCCGCCAATTTGGTGAAAAGTGGCAAAAAGGTGGAGCTAAACACAAGTAGGGAAGAGGACATTGAGACTCGGCTAACGCAGACAAGTGCACGATGAGCACAAAAAGAACCGCCAGACATACAGGCAGTCGAATGCACCAGCTGTGAATGGAGGACCTTCAGGCCAATGGCCACTTACGACTCACTTTCACCGACACTCATCCACTAGTCAACTCAAACACCGTTGTCCATGAATACACATCCACAAATGACTGACCAAGTCGTCAAAGTGGAGGGAAACTGGAACACCAAAATTGTATTTCGTAACGGAACCACAGGCAAACGGTACCTTTGCCCCCGACGGTTTCTCTCCGTCCTTCACCCTCTACCCACACAATACGTCATTATCCGCACGTCCGTCAGCATCCAATGATGCTTAAGCTCGGCCGCCAACGCGGACAGGTTTGACTTTCCTCCGTCGGCCTCCTTTTCACCGACAATGTGCGGTGGAAGGAAAAATCGCAATTATGAGGAGGCAGAATGTCATAGTCTTTGGTGCGTGAAAGCACAAACAAATCACAGATTAAAGTAAAGTAGCGCTCATTGAAATGGAGACAGCAAACGTAAAATAAAAATTTGGGCGCCACTTTATGCAAAAAAAAAACGTAAAAGTACATTAAAGAGTCAACACAAAAGGCGTCGACTAGGTCAAGATCATGACCTAGGGGAGGAAGACATCAACATGACCGAGTACTACTACGCATCGAAGGGGTGAAATCATTTTATTGTACGTGACCCAGGTCACGATTATCGAGCAATCCATCGCCACAATGCCGAGCACATGAGGCAAAGAAGTTGTAAGCTGAAGGCATCTTAAATGCTCAACTGCAAATCCACATTGAGGAGGAGGAGGGGGAGGA